TATCAGTGCGTTGAGTTGAGTGATACCAACTTATATAGTGACCCTGTATTGGGTTTCCAAGGAGCTATCGGTGAGCTTGAACTGCGGATCTTGCTGTTCAAAGCGACCTTGTAGTCCAGGTCATTAACCTACATCACCACAACACCAGGACATACACTCTCTCTCTTTTTCTTTTCTTAACTCTTGTTTTCTCTCTCTCTCTCTCTATATATATATAGTGGTAGTGGTGTGCCGTGGAGTTGATTTTGACTCATAGCGACCTTATATAGGGTTTCTGAGGCTGAAAGCCTCATCTTTCGCCTGTGGAACCACTAGTAGTTTCAAACTAGTTGACGTTGAGGTTAGCAGCCCGACTAGTAACCACCTAGCTACCAGAGCTCCATATATTTATATATATAGTTATTGTTATGTGCTTTTGAGTCAGTTCCAATTCATAGTGTCCTTGTATAGGATTTCCAAGGTTGATGAGTTTGAACTACCTACCTTGATGTTCAAACCAACTTTCTGGGCTACTGCTTATCCTACAGTGTCACACCAGGACTCTGTATATATATGAAAGGGCTTCAAAAAATGTTTGGAAAAATGAAATGCAAAGGTAATTGATTCTTTTCCATGAACTTGTTGAAACTTCTTCATACGTGTAAGTATATATATAAATATGTGTAAAATAAAAGCTAAAATGTATTCTGAACTAAATATATAAAATAGGGTATTTCCCTAGCAAGTGGGATAACAAGGGTAACATGATTAGAACTATCTTTCTTTCTACCATCTGTTAAATCCAAGGCTTTGCCAATGTTTATGTACTATTTTTATTTGTAAAATAACAATAGTATGTAGAAATACATTTATTTATAAAATAAAAATAGTGAAAACTAGCTTTCCTTCAGAGATACACTTATTTAATGAATGACCCTCTTTTATATATGTATTAATAACCAGTTGGTGGTATAATTTAAAACGATGGCCTCTTGGCCCCAGTTTTCTTTCATGGGATAAAAAGTTAGGCTCTGCAAGGCTGCCTAAGGTTTCTGTGTGGTGGACAAGGCTAAGAAGCTGTCAATAACCAGTCTCTTTGGGGGGAGATTTCCCAAATACAGGAGGCTGGAACTATAATGCTCCTGCTAGCCCCCTAGAAAGTGATGGGGGTACTTCCTTGACCTCTAGGTGTCTGCTGGTTGAGGCCAGTAGGTTGTTGAACTGGATAAAATCTGAAGGTATGTTCTGCTTATCTTGTTCTAGGTATGAGCTCCCATTGAATCTTTCTCAGCTTCCAGAGCTTCAGTTCATTGGCATTATTTTGACACTGGTGACAATCCAGATATAGAAATTTTTATTTCACCTTTTACACGTTTACCACAGAAGTCAAGCGTACTCAAGGAATTACTTAATTTATAACTGTCTTAGGAAATCTTGCTTTAAAAAGGAATTATGGAATCACATTGGAAGTTTGGCAGTCCTATGTGTCAGACCATTGTTATATTCTTGAAATTTTTATTTTCTTTATCTTATTTGGATCAACTGTTTTGCATTTTCTCAATTGTCAAAATCTGATCCTAACCCCATAGCTCTTCTGCTTCCCACTGTGATCTCTTTCACATTACTGAGTAGTGCATGGCTTACCAATTAAATTGGAACTTAATTCTCATTATATTTTTTGGTTCATTTCTGAGTTTGTTGCTTCACTGGGTGATTCATTAGGAAAAACATCATACTTGGAATTTAAGGGTAGATTTACAGAGATTCTTTAATGTATGTTGATAATGTTAATGGACCTGTTGATAAGCCAGGTCTATAAATGGTCTAGACCCAATGAACATGCACTTGTTTCTTTGCTTCCAAGCACTACATGCAAGCACCAGCCCTTAAAGTTTCTAAGGAACAGTTAAGGCAGACTTAACATATGTTTATTCTTCATTTTCTTGACAGTAAATATGTGGGAATCATCAAGCTGATAGTAATATAAGCTGTTAGGTATGTGGTACATTGTAGATGATGCAGAAAAAGATGCCAGCAGGGGACTCTTTAATTGCTGACCCATTGGTCTTCAAATCACCTCTGAGATCTGACTGCTGTTTGCTAGTTGGGATGAGAAGGACCAGCAGAATTTTATTGTAGCCCAACCAGCTGTATTAACAAGAAACAAGAAAGAAAATAGCTACCAGATTCTATTTCCACCACTGACTGAAAGTGTCAGTGTAACTGGAGATGGTCAGCAGTGCATGTGGTCAGTGTTCATCCTGTAGTGCTGACCAGCAGAGGACTTGTCTAGACCAGTACATCCTCCCTGAGAAGCTGGCCCTGCTATCCTGAAGCATGTATGCTTTTGGTTTAATCTCTCATATAGATTTCTCTATAAGGGAATTTTGCCATAACCTGAGGACTTATATTTCTAATTGCAAAACATAAAAACAATTTCTGGTGATATATGCATGTGTGTGCTATCTTATAAGCATGATTCATAAAATCCATTCCACATGATGCAGTTTTAGAATATGGATAAAGTTCTTTAGATATCCCTGGCTGTTGACAAATGGTTAAGTGTTCAGCTGCTAACCCGAAGATTGAAAGTTCAGATCTACTCAGAGGAGCCTCAGAAGAAAGACCTTTCAACCTGCTTCTGAAAAAACAGAATGAGGTCACCATCATTTGTAATTAAACTGACAACTGGTTTTGGTTAAGATGTTTCTGGACAGACCAGACTACAATGGGACAGATCACAAAGGCAACCTGCATGGAAAACAGTTAATTGTGGGTTAAGTGCAGTTCATTAACTTGCAAAGTTTCAAGTATTTGGTGATTATCATGTAATTGAATTCCTTAATTAATGTTTGCTCTAAGCACTGCTCCTTAGTGCCTGCCCCACTGTTATCAGGGTTCCTTGGGGACACAGGTGACCATCTTTTCCCAGGGTACCTGGACTGTACTATCTGCTGCTTCTGATAAAGCCTCACTGACTGCCTGCCAACTTAAGAATCATTTTCCTTTCA